TAAATAATAAGGCGGTTACACTGCAATGCATTTAGTATGCAGTATTTATTGCACATTAAATTAAAAAGTGTGTGCCACTGACTGTGCCACCCTCGGAGGAGTGTCACGCCAAGGCCACACCGCCCGCGGAAGCGCTGTGAATAGCCTCAAAGCACCTCAAAGCGAAGCCAGTTTCCTTTCGGCGCACGTGTTAACCGATTGTGTCATCCACACCGGCTGCGCCGCGCTGCGCAGCTCTGTCGTTTCGGCGTCTGGTCTATTTTCTGTGTGAGCCGCGAGCGAATGTGTTAAGCCGGGTGACGGAGACAACAGCTGGGAGCAGAACCGCCTGTCGACCAGCGTGGAGAAATGCACGTCTGATGTGAACAGAAGTGCTCCGGCTCGCACGAGAATTTCGGTGCGCTACTCACTCACTCACTATTTCATGTTTACTATATAGTGCACTACATGGGGAACGACTGAACGAGATTTCAGACACTAACTGAAATTTTTTCTTCTCCTCTGGCAAAAGACGACCGCATTGCATTGTGGTATACGCAAGTAAAATGTAGGGTACATCGTTTGTTCACTCACATTTGCTGTGCATTGTGGGTATTTTATAGTCCACTATATAGTGAATGAAATTAACCACGGAGAATTCGAACAACACTACAAAATGGCGAACACACTATATAGTGCACTATATCCGTGATAGGGAGCGATTTCGAACACAGCTCCTGTCTCTCTTTCTCTATCCATCTCTGTCTGGGCGCTGACCTGAGCGGAAGACAGAAACCAGTGAGTGACTTCGACTTCTTCTTTTCCGGCAGTATCAATGCTACTTGGTGTATCACTGCCTCCAGCGAGTGACTAAGTCACATCACCGGCTTGCCTCATACGCCCAGGCAGGCCAGGGTTGCCAGATACTGCGACAAATATCCCCCACAATATTACTTGTTTCCTTCACTGTAAAATCGGGAGATTAGCGGGAGAAATTACTGATCTGGAGCATCGCAGGAGATAGGGTTAAAAATTGGGAGTCTCCCGCGTGAATCGGGAGAGTTGGCAAGCGTGATCATCAGCTGGATCACAAGGCAAACTACTTAAAGCGGTCTGTTGTGCTGATAGACTGTCAATTTTAAATTCACACAGGNTTAACGATATATTTGTAAATACTATTGTTTAAATTTCTTATATTTTCACGTATCTTTCCTCTCTTGCAAAGAGCACCTGTAACATAACTAATTTCCCCTCGGAGATCAATAAAGTATTTCTGATTCTGATTCTGAATAGTACCAGGAACTTCTTCAGTGGAAATGGGTTACTAGGGCAACAAACTGAATGACTGCTGACTCCCTCGCACTTTTCCCCGCCCCCAATAAAATTTGATCTCTCGCAGCAGCAGCAGACAGCTGAGCGGAGCGGAGCTGCGGAGTCCCTCTGAAGCCTCTGAGACAAACTAAAAACACTTGTAGGTGCCTTCACTTCATTTATAAACAAACATAAACCTTATTACGTTGTCATAATGCATGTTACAATGCGAGATAAGTTGAATATAGTCCCTTGACACGCCGCTGATGTGAAAAGCTTTTTTTTTTCCGCCTCCCCTCCAGTGAAAAAACACAGGGTGTTTTTGCAACTTAAGAAATCATACAGCCAAGGACATCTTAAGTGGGTCGTTGGGAGTCTGCAGCTCTTCATCTAACTGCTACTACTCATCATTGCCTTTTAAAAACGGCATAATGACCCACCAAAGGGAACAGAGTTGAAGCCTTGGACTGGAGTTGCAGGACTTCCAAAGGGATTTGGACCTGTAGCAGCACCCTGGCCGAATGATGGGGTCGACGTCCCTGCAGAGAAAGCAGCACACAAACTCGATTAAACTGAACAACCGACTGGGGCTAAACCACTGAGCTTTACTGGGAAAGAAACACATGTAGAGTACTATAAAACAAGCCACAGAGACCGGCAAAGCATACTTGTGTCGATACAGAGGTTTAGATGAGGAGGGGTGTCAATTTCCCCATTTACTTTTTTCAAAATTTTTGAATGAAGAGTTTGTAGTTTTAAATGAGGAAGTATTACTCAGAGATTTGTCATACATAGTATTTCATGATTCTCATTCAGTCAAAAGAGTTGAACATGTTTCCAAATGAAAGGCTAGGTACCCTCATGTACCTGTCTCCGATTTTTATTTTCCTATATCAAGAGCAGGTTGCTCAACTGCCAGTTATGTTCTATTATGCAATCAAATGGACTAAAATCACGACTGAATGATTTGACAAAACCTACTGAAGTAGGAGCTTAAAAATAGTGCACTGTTTTCTTTCTATTGACTCCAGAATTTATCGTGAATCAAACTGTGAAACAAAGAACTGGAATAAGATCATGAGAAATATTCCCAACTGTGGTTAAAAAATAAAGTCTGAATAACTGTTAAAGCCAATACAATACTTGTGACTCTTTCAGAAATCCCACCGTAGCTTGGGTTACAACATAACAAAGCAAAATAAATCTGTCTTTATTCCTTACCGAAAGCTGGTTTGTCAGTAGCAGCAGCCCCAAAGTTGAAGCTTCCCATCTGTGGTGCAGGATTATTGGAGACTGGTGTTCCAAACTGGGGGCATGGCATACCAGCACCAAAGTTAAATCCACCGGGTGCTGACTGAGAAGGGCCGGCAGGAGCTGGCTGAGGAGCAGCACCGCCAAATGTGAAGGTGGCTGAGGAGGAGCTCTGAGTCTGGGTTGCTGCACCAAAGGTTGGTGGTGCAGCTGAGGGAGCGGTGGTGCCACCGAAAGCAAAACCAGTGGAGCTGGCTCCGAATGCCGGTTTAGCTGGGGTCCCAAAAGTGGTTGCTGTGGTGACAGCAGCTGAACCAAAGGCGAAAGGGGTTGGGGCAGTGTTAGAGGCAGGTGTAGATGATGCTCCCCCGCTGCTTCCAAAGGTGAATGGTTTTGGTGGTGCTGCTGAGGCTCCAAAGGTCGCCGTTGCCGCTGTTGCCGAAGAGGAGCCAAACGTCGGCTGCGTTGCCGGTGCCACTGAGGAACCAAAGGTTGTCTGTACTGCCGGTGCTGAAGAGGAGCCAAAGGTTGTCTGTACTGCCGGTGCCGCTGAGGAGCCAAAGGTTGTCTGTGCTGCCGGTGCCGCTGAGGAGCCAAAGGTTGTCTGTGCTGCCGGTGCCGCTGAGGAGCCAAATGTCGGCTGCGTCGCCGGTGCCGCTGAGGAGCCAAAGGTTGTCTGTGCTGCCGGTGCCGAAGAGGAGCCAAAGGCTGACTGTGCCGCTGGTGCTTGAAATGATGACTTTCCAAAGGTAAAGGTGGACTGGGTGGTGGCGGCAGCAGCGGTGGAGGCTGTGTTGGCCATGGCAAAGCCTCCAAATGAAGCAGTGGTTGTGTTCTGGTTGGGTGCTGCCTGACCAAAGGCGAATACCTTCTGGTTGGCTGCTTGAGGGTCTGGCTGTGTGGCACCAAACGTGAAGTTGCTGTTGCTGGAGGTTGTGGTTGCAGCAGCGGGGGCAGCTGCAGTAGTGGTGGTAGCAGTTCCAAACTGAAATGTGCTCCCTGTACTGGGGGCCTGCGCTGTGGCTGAGCTGGTACTTGTTGTGGATGGTGCTGACCAGTTTCCAAAGAGGGATTTGACGGCTGGCTCAGCTGCAGACTGTGTGGCTGTGATGGAACCAGTGGAAGCTGTACCAGTGGTGGTCATGCCGGGAAAAACAGATGGGGTAACGGTGGTGCTGCTTGCTGATCCACCAAACATTGAAGATGTAGTACTTGAGGAAACTGTAGAGTCGGGGTTGGCAGCCGTGTAGGGCGGAGGCTGTCCAAAGCCAGCAGCTGCAGTGGCAGCTCCAAAGATGGGCTTGAAATTTTGGACAGGAGGTTTGCTCTCTGATGCTGATGTAGCCGATGAGGTGGTGGTGACGGAAAAAATGGGCTTGAACCCTGAAGCCAGCAGAGGGTTGACGTTACTGACCGACTCTGAGCTGCTGGCCGGGGTAGTCACAGCAGTAGTGACTGGGTTAGAGGCTGAAGAAGCAGTGGGGGTGCTGATCTGACTCGTCAATCCAAACAGGGTTGGTCCTGCTGTAGGCAGAGGGTTGCTGGAAGCCTTGGACACCTGACTCAGCACCTGAGTGAAGGCAGAAGGCTGCTCCACACCAGCAGAGGAGGACTGAGACTGGGAGGCAGGAGGGAGCTGTGGTGGAACCACTGGGTTCGAAACATTCAGGGTTAAGCCACTGGGTTGAACCGGTGTGGTTGATGCAGACACTATAGACAAAACAAATAAGATCTGGATGATAAATACATATCATGATATATCCCTCAGTGGAAACAAAGCTTTTATTTATTTATATTTCACAGATTAAAAACAACAAATTGTGAAGACAATAAAGCCACCGCACAATATAGCATTTTAAGTCTTGTGTTGTGTTGTCCTTAGGGGATTGGGATTTATCCTGGCTTCATATGAACAGAGGCAATCTCCATTTGTCGCTAGGCTAATTTATACAATGTAAAATGCCATAGGCTTGTGCTAATAATGGTAGTATGTTGTACTTGTGGAGAAAATGTGTCCAGATAAAGACAAGTGCTTTGTCTGTGAATGCTGCGAGTTATAGTGAATATTATTGTGTTATTTATTGAAATTATTTTGATGACAATTGTTCTGAATCTTCCTCAGATTTGTGAAATGTTCTGCTATTTGGCGAACCTTGTCAAGTTCTGACAATAAATATTAGTTTAAACCAAAATAAACTTTGTGGTTTTTTCAACTTTCACTCCGGAGCAATAATCAGCCTTTAAACGGCAAAGAAGTTATGATTCGACTTTTTTAGAGTGATAATTATCGATATTGATGGATATGAACATTTTAGTTGTGATAACATTTAGTTGTGATAACAGTTAAAACTTAAAACTTAAAAATACTATCAAAACAAAGACAAAGTTCAGCTTATTTCCATTTTTCTTTTTCAGTGTTTGGGTTTTTTAACCTGCTTATTTAATATTTTTAAAAAATTACTCTGCATTTCCAAACTTTATCGTTAGGCCAGAGAAAGAAAAAAACAAAATT